TCCTAAGCCTATACTTTCATCCACGAATATTCATCTTCCCGATGGAACCACCAAATCTCCTACTCATTCTGGATCTGTTGTTCTAAATTCCTCTATTACTTTACATAATGTACTTTACATTCCTGGTTTTGTCCTGAACCTTGTGTCTATTAGTAAACTGGTTGTTGATTTAGGTTGCCTTGCTAAGTTTGATGCCTCTTGCTGTAACTTGCAGGACCTGAGGACTAACTCGACTCTCTTGCATGCCAAGCTTCATCATAATCTCTATATTTTTTACTTGAGCTTATCATCCCAGGTTCTATGTTCCACTGTTTACTCTGATCCTTTATTTCATACCTTATTATGTCATGAGAAATTAGGCCATCCATCTTGGAATGTTATGAAACACTTACCTATGGAACTTATTGTTTTTCCTTCCTCACCTTGTGATGTTTCTTCCACTTCAAAATTTCACAAACTTTGCTTCAATAAAAGTGTTTCTCATGCCACTAATATTTTTGATCTTATTCACGTTGATCTTTGGGGTCCTTTCTTGCATCCTTGCACCACAAATAATAGTTATATGTTGACTATAGTTGATGATTGTTCTAGAGCTACTTGGCTATACTTGTTAAAGCACAAAAATGAAGTAGCAAGTCTATTGTCTAAGTTCCTGATTTTGGTTAATACTCAGTTCTCCAAATCAGTGAAAGTTATTCGTAGTGATAATGGATCTGAATTTTGTAACACTGCTTGTGAAGAATTATTTGCTCGGCTTGGGGTAGTGCATCAAAGGAGTTGTGTTTATACACCTCAACAAAATGGGAGAGTCGAGAGAAAACACAAACATATCACTCAGGTTGCTAGGTGTCTGCTTTTTCATTCAGGTTTATCCAAATTTTATTGGAATGAAGTTGTTCTTGCATTTGATTAATAGATTACCCACTCCTATACTCGATTGGAAAACTCCATATGAGATTTTAGATAACACCAAACCAGATTTTGATAGACTGCATGTCTTTGGCTGTTTGTGTTTCATGAAAGCTCCTAAATCTCAGTTGGGTAAACTAGATCCTAAAGGGTTGAAAGGTGTTTTTCTGGGATACAGCGGGACATACAAAGGTTACAAAGTCCTCGATTGCTCTACTAATAAGATCTATATAACTAGAGATGTGGTGTTCTATGACTCCATACTTCCTTTTTCGCCCAATGTCTGCCCCCTTACTTCTTCTACTTCTGTTTTAGAGCCAATAATTTCACCCAATATTGCTATTAATGACTGTCCCTCCTCTATATCTGCCTTACCCAAATCTAGTGTCTTTGATTTAGCTTCAACTTCTCCCCATGTCTCTGCTCCTTCGCCCCAATCCTCTCCATCTATTTCCTCTCCAGCCTCTTCTTCAGCTCCTTCCACTCATATTTCCATCTCCCCTGTGTCACTGCCCACTAGACCGCAGAGATTAAGGCAAATGCCTGCTAGATTTCGGGATTTTATCTGCAAAACTCAAGAAGTGCAGCTGCCTGTTTCCTTTAGAGAAGCTAGTCAATCACAGGCCTGGAATTCAGCCATGACTGAGGAACTTGATGCTATGCCCCGGAATGGTACATGGGATTTGGTCGCTTTGCCTCCTTTGAAGAAACCTATTGGGTGTCGATGGGTTTTCCGGGTGAAATATAATCCCGATGGCTCCATTATCAAGTACAAAGCTCGTCTTGTAGCCAAGGGGTATCATCAAAAGTTTGGAGAAGATTATCATGACTCTTTTGCTCCTGTAGCAAAGCAGATCTCAGTCCGATTAGTTCTTGCATTGGCTGCCTCCATGCAATGGCACTTACATCAATTAGATGTGAATAATGCTTTTCTTCATGGGGATATCACTGAAGAAATTTACATGGTCTGTCCACCTGGATTGCAGGCACCTTCAAATCAGGTTTGTAGACTTAAAAAGTCTATTTATGGCCTCAAGCAGGCCCCGAGGCAGTGGAATACTACCCTCACTGCCTTCCTTCTATCCTTGGGACTGCAACAACTTCCTTTCGATCATTGTCTATTTTTGGAATTCACTGGTTTAGGTTCAGTTATCTTGGTGGTTTATGTTGATGACATTCTAATTGCAGGAAAAGATGAACACAAAATTGTCAAAATAAAGCAGGCACTGCATGAACAATTTACCATGAAGGATCTTGGAGCTGCTTCTTATTACTTGGGTCTTGAATTACGCCGAGGTAATGATGGAATTCGTGTTTCTCAATCCAAATTCACTAATGATCTCCTCGAAGAATTTCAGGTGTCTCAAAATTGTCGTGCTCATACTCTTCTTGGCATTATAAAGCCACTGCACCGCGATGGCGTTCTCGTTAACCAGCCACATCTTTTTCGAAAGCTGGTTGGAAAGTTGATTTATCTTGGATTTTCTCGCCCAGATTTGAGTTTTGCAGTGCAACAACTCAGTCAATTTATGCATGCCCCGACAGAAGACCATTGGCTCGCTGCCACTCACATCCTTCAGTACTTGCGCAACACCTCGTCACTTGGTCTTTTCTTTCCAACCCGCAGTCCCTTGGAGCTTACTGGTTATTGTGACTCAGATTGGGGGAATTGTCTTGATACTCGTCGTTCGTTAAGTGGATACTGTGTGTTTCTTAGTGGTGCCTTGATTGCTTGGAAAACTAAAAAGCAACAGGCTGTGTCTAAATCCTCTACCGAGGCGGAATATCGCAACATTGCTGCGGCAACTTCGGAACTCCTTTGGATCCATTATGTTCTTGAGTCGCTTCGTATATCGGTTCCTCGTCCCATTCCTTTGTACTGTGACAATGAATCTGCCATAAAGTTGGTGTGCAACCCGGTTCACCACGAGCGGACAAAGCACATTGACATCTCTTGTCATTTTATCCTTGAGCGCTATCAATCTGGTTTCCTTCTCCCTACTTCTATTGACACTGTTGTCCAAGTTGCTGATGTCTTCACGAAAAGCTTATGTGCACCTCTTTTTCTCCGGCATTGTGGCAAGCTCAATTTGGAGGGTTTCGCTTGCGGGGGGGATGTAAAGGCAAGTAATACTACAATACATGAGACATTGGCTACTAACAGAGAATGACAACTGTTCTTTAAAGTTGTTACTTCTTTTATTTAATTCCTGAAAGTGTCATTACGTTTCCTTTTTTGCTTTGTAAGATGTATATATATGTGTACAATCTATTCTTTTATTCAATAATAGAAAATACCCAAAAACCTTCTCGTTTCTTCTTCTCTCTTGTTGGTTGGGTTGTTCTTCACACACAATCAATGTCATCTTTTTTTTCTTTTTTTTTTCACCTAAATTTATATATAATTTATTAATAGTAAATAATTTTATTCACCCATGATATTATATTGTTTACTTTATCATATAATAATTAATTTTTCATTACTTTCTTATCAATCTTTGAATAAATTTTGGCGATTTTATATTTACCATTCATCTTCTTTGATTAGTCGGGAGCATAATTATCTTTTTGACAAATGGTGTAGCTGAAAAATAAAGATTGTTGGATTTTGTATTTAATCCAATAAAATGCCCTGTTGAATACTATAAGATAAAGGCTGATGGTATCATCTTATATAATATTCAGGATCATTGTGAACTCTGTCATGTCCGACCTATCAAAATTTATCACGATCCAATGCTTGTTATTTAGTGAGGGTATTTTAGGAATTTTGAAAAGATGTAATTAAATTTCAATTAATTAAGAAAAGGTTGAATATGTTAACTATTAAGTTATAAATGGTAACATTAATCTAAATAAATTAGAAACATATGCAATTAATTTATTTCCAAATAAAAAAAATATTCGAAAAATGCAATGACGTACATATATTTCACACATGTTGTCATAGTATCACTAGCATGATGTCTAAGGTAATACAGAGATAATATATACTATCTTATTTTAATGTTTACAAATTCGTAATTGATGCAATATTTTTAACAAGTGAGATATTCCTTATATTGAGTAAGTTTGACTTCTGATTTCTAAAAATTTCAAACCTACTCACGAATCAAATTTAACTCAATCAACGAAATTACTTTTGGAAATTATCATCATAATCTCGGATTACTATTTTTATGTATTAATTTTAGAATATTTTTTAATTAAAAGTTTTTCCATAATTAACAATATACAATTATTTACTAGATGAAATAACCCCCCACACTTCAAAAATTAACCCAGTCCTAACCCTGTTGCAAAATCACTCCAGTCACGAATCTCCCAACCACGCCGCCACCATCTTCCCCTTTTGCCATCAACCACACACCATCGCCGTCGTTCACCTTCCATCGTCCACCAAAATAACCCGAGCCCTAATCCCATCGGACCGGAAACCCTTCTTTGCGATTTTCAGCCACCACACCGCAGTCATTCCGATCCCGCCGTCGACTACACAGCTGCGCGGCCGTCAATGGCCAAAAAAAAGAATCTAGTTCCAGAGCCATCGGTGAAGCCCAAGCCAAAGAAAACTAAGTTCATACATGTCCCGTGTGTCCCAGGAAGGTTGCTAATTTCAATATAATAATGACAAGCTATATCAGTCTAACGGCGACTCCCTAAGGAATTTCAATAAGGGAACATGTTTTAGGGTTTCCTTTTTGTTATTTGATGTCTATATGTGTAATGCCCCGATTTCGGAATGTATAAAATAATATTATTATAGCAAATAAATATTTTTATAATATTTTGGGATCAAGAAATTAATATTCTGAAATAAATTTTATTCCTATTTTATATATTGTTTATGATTGAAAAGACCGTTAAACGGATAAATATCGATAAAGATAAATATAAAATATAATATATATATATATAATAATAATAATAATAATAATAATAATAATGATAAGGATGGATGATTACGAAGATATAATAATAATAATAATAATAATAACGTTAATAATAATAATATAATATAATATAATATATAATAATAATATAATTATATATATATATATAACAAACTTACCTGCGAAGGAAGACAGAAGACGAAACGCGAAGGAGAAGAAGAAAGGAGAAGAAAAAAAAAAAGGAAGAAAAAGATTTAGCCGTCCGATTCCAATTCCGACTTGGGTATGGTATTCCTTGCTATTCGTAGAGTCCGATTATAAATTTTAATACGAATTTTGATATTGGAGTATTAAATTAGAAATTCTTTAAAAATTCAAAATTGGCTATTTAGCTATTTAATCGATGAATTTCTTTAGCTAATAGCCTATTCGTAGCGCCGACGTTATATTTTGAGAATTTCGTACCAATCCAAGCCGAATAAAAAACGGCAGTATATTGCACCTGCCTGCTTGTTCATACCTTTGCGTATTTTTATTTAATAATCGGGCAATATAAATATTATGAGGTAGAAGGATTTTATAGCTAGAATATCATATTCTACTAAATATAAAAGTTTGGAGCCCGACGAGTTAATTATAGAAATTAGCTTTTGAATAAGCAGGTAGCTCCTGAGAATAAGCATAAAGCTCATCTGATTTGAGTAAATAATGGGACAGGTGTACGTTGGAGGAGATTTGGGTGAAGTTATAAAAATCCAGAAAGTATCGGTAGGAGGTAAGCAGTAGGGAATTAAATCTAATTTTAAGAAATTAGGTATTTATGTTGCATGTGATTCTGATTCTGATATTGATATGATATTATGTGGAATCATTTGGTCAGTGCATCTATATATGTATATATGTGTGTGTATATGCATGTGTGAAACTTCGTTTTACGATATTTGATATACGTATTTGATCGTGTTGGTGAATTTATGAAAAGGAGGATAGGTGGGCCGTCTCACCAGCCCTTTTCATTAAATTCACTTATTGACATGCTGCACACATCGCACGATTTATCGGATATGTTTTATGGATCTATCGTTTAGTCGCCGTGTGCGGTAGTGCTAGGCGAGGGCATCATCTGGGGTTAGGATATTCGACCCCGATGTACTGTAACACTTTGGCGATAGTGGACGATAGTAGTCGGACAACTGGGTGACTTAGTCGCACGGTCATTCAGGGATTAGACCCATTGCAGTTGAGACGTATTTGGTCTAATCATTCGTGTTCGGTGTTGTTCCACTCATTGGAGTAGCTACTAGTGAGGTCTACCGGTAGTTTAGGATCATATGCCAAACTCCAAACGCGATCCCGTTAGGGCGTGCGAGGAGGAGTAGAGTTTCCGGGTTTCCTTCGGGTGATTCCAGGTTGCACGGATTCTACTACGTTACACGGGGTAGGGCTAGACAGGAGGGTCCTATCTTCGCTATCACAGACTATGGGGTGTCTTGTGGTTAATGGCGACAACGCTCGACTATCCATGTATTGATTGCGGGAGTCGTATGGTGGGTATATGGGAGTGACCGGGTGACCGTTATATTATTATGGGTTTACCAGGTCCTTCCTTGAGCCGAGGATTTTCCGGCTATTTATTGATGATAGTCTAGTGAGCTGTTATTATGGAGCCGAGGTTATTCCGGCTGCTCACTTTGACATATGTATATGGGTATATGTGCATGAGTTGTCGATTTTGACATTATTGTTACATTATTTCAGTATGGGCATGGCATGGCATTTATTTTGCAAATGACGGAAATTAAACTCTACTTTCGAGCATGACATGGCATATTTTATGTTAGTTCTTAAAATGGATTTAATTCTAGACTGCTTTTAAGAAAAATATTTGATTCAGGTACGCATGGCACCTCCGGGACAGGGGACGTCTCGGGAGATAGAAAGACGGGCTGAATGAGTGAACTGCATCTGATGTATTATATGTAAATTCTAACTAGAAAAACCTCCCGTTTTGGGAGTATGTTTTTGTAAATATTTATAAACTTGTTTTTTTGGGAATAATAAAATGCTTATATAATTAATTTTAGCCTTAACACTGTGTTGTGGGGCCCGAAGTAGGAGGTGACGACCTCATGATGCAGTGTGGCGGTAGCATTTCCAGTATGAGCCAACTGGGGGTGTTACAAGTTGGTATCAGAGCCTAGGTTTGATAGATTTTGGCTCTTTGAATTAAAAAGGTTTTGAAAATAATAATGATATTGAATTGGTTTGGTGAGGTTTGGGTTTGCGGGTGCATTCATGTTAATGTGATCTATCTTTTATTGTTATGCTTGGTTTAGCTGTGTGCTGAATTGATATTGAATCAGGAAAAATTGGGGGCAGTATGTCGAATTCTCGAGGTGGTGGTGTACGTAGGGCTATTCAAGGCCCAGAGTTTGATCCTTCGTCTGATGAGTCACAGTATCCTGTGCCAGCGCATGTACCAACAGAGGCACCTAGTCAGGATTTCTTTCGGCAGTTTATGGCCGCGATGATGCCTCAACAGAGGAGTTTCATTGATGCTGTGATGCGGCATAACCCACCAACATATTCTGGTTCAGTGGAGCCAGGAGTCCTTGAGTTTTGGGTTGAAAAGATGGAAAAAATATTTCGTGTTGTTCAGGTTCCGCCAGATCAACGAGTTAATATTGGAGCCTATTTCTTGGAAGGCCGAGCAAATCGGTGGTGGTTAGGTGAAGAAGCTGCAGGTGTAGACCAAGTGGATATGACTTGGGATGAATTTAAAGCAAAGTTAAAGGCTAGGTTTATACCGTCGCATATTCGAAAAGCGAAGAAGCAAGAATTGCTGGACTTAAAGCAGGGCTCGATGTCAGTTGAGGATTATTTTGTGAAGTTTAATGAGTTGGAGATGTATGTTCCTGACTACTTTTCCTGTGAGCGAGACAGAATTGACCATTTTGTAGACGGGTTGCAACACAGAATTCAAGAAGCTTTAGCGGTGTTGGATATCAGTTCATTGTATGAGGCTTACGAGCGTGCTGCCCGATTTTATCAGAAGCAGGAAATCAGACAAAAGGAGAGTGAGAAGGAAATAGGTTATCAACATCAGGTTCGAGATAAGGGAAAAGCTAAAGTGGAGGATGAGCCCAAGGGTAAAAAGAAATGGTGGCAAATGTTCAGGTCTGGGCCATCGTATAAGGGGATTTCGATTAATGAACCGAGTCAGGAGAGGTCTCAGCAATCGGGGGCTGTTTGTCGGCGTTGTGGAACAAGCCACCCAGGTACTCGTTGTGATAAAGTTCCATTGACATGTTTTAAATGTGGTGGTAGTGGTCACATTGCCAGGTTATGTCCAAGTGTGGTAACTGCAAGGGAGTTTCCAGAACCGAGGTTTAGGCCATGGCAGCCGCCGTCTTCGCAGTCACAAGGGAGAGGATTAGGATCATCTTGGCGAGGGGGACGAAGTCAGTCACGTTCGTCATCTAGGCAGCCAGGCAGAGGACCTGACCAGCGTGGTCGAATAAATGTTCTTACCCAAGCAGAAGCTGATTATCATCCAGGTGAGGTTTTAACGGGTAGATTTCTGGTTTGCGGTTTTCCTGCTCTTGTGTTATTCGATTCGGGTGCAACGTTCTCGTTCATATCTAAGCGTCTAGTTAGACGATTGGGTCTGAATTCATCAGTAGAAGTGGTAGTGGAAGTTTTACTTCCATCAGGAGAAGTGCTGGAATGCCGAGAGCTTTTTATGCAGATTCCGGTTAGTATTGAAGGGGTTGATTTTGTTACTAACTTGTTGGGCATCAAGCTATCCGAGTTCGATGTAATATTGGGGATGGATTGGTTAGTGGCATATCAAGCTCAATTTGATTGTCGAAAAAGATCAATTTCGCTGGTTGGAGCGATGGGCGAACTGGTGAATTATGCAGGATCTGCCAGACAACCTTTTATGAAGGTAATTTCATCCCTATCATTTCAATCATTTATTCGTAAGGGGTTTCCAGTATATCTGTGTGAGGTAAGAGATTTGACGCAAGGGGAGCAGCGATTGCAAGATATTCTTGTAGTCCGAAATTTTCCTGATGTATTTCCTGATGACATTCCGGGTATGCCACCAGCTCGTGAGGTGGATTTTACTATTGATATTGTGCCGGGTGCTGAGCCAGTATCAAGGGCTCCATACCGGATGGCACCTTTAGAACTAGCCGAACTTAAATTGCAACTACAGGAATTGCTAGATAAGGGTTACATTCGGCCTAGTACATCGCCTTGGGGAGCTCCAGTTTTATTTGTGAAAAAGAAAGATGGAAGTTTGAGGTTGTGTATTGACTACCGTGGACTGAACAAAGTCACGGTGAGGAACAAATATCCTCTTCCGAGGATTGATGATCTATTTGATCAACTGAGAGGAGCAACTATATTCTCAAAGATTGACTTGAGATCTGGATATCATCAGCTAAGGATTGCAGAGCATGACATTCCGAAGACAGCTTTTCGGACTAGATACGGGCATTATGAATTCACGGTTATGTCCTTTGGGTTGACTAACGCCCCGGCTGCGTTTATGGAGTTGATGAATAGAATTTTTCAACCATACCTCGATCAGTTTGTGGTGGTATTTATTGACGATATCTTGGTCTATTCCCCAGATAAAAAGACGCATGCAAAACATTTGCATGTAATATTAAACATATTGCGTGCAAGAAAGTTATATGCCAAGTTATCCAAATGCGAGTTTTGGTTGAAGGAGGTTGCTTTCTTGGGGCATGTTGTTTCTGGAAAGGGTATCTCAGTAGATCCTTCTAAAGTGGCAGCAATCTTGGATTGGCCAAGACCTACCAATCAATCAGAAGTAAGGAGCTTTTTGGGTTTGGCAGGATATTATCGGCGATTCGTTCTTGATTTTTCGAAGATTGCAAAACCATTAACTAATTTGCTGAAAAAGGATGCAAAGATTAACTGGGATCACGAGTGTGAGTCATCCTTTTTAGAATTGAAACATCGATTAACTTCAGCGCCAATTTTGGCTTTACCAGTGGAAGGTGAGGAGTTTGAAGTGTATAGTGATGCTTCGAAGCAGGGATTGGGATGTGTCTTAATGCAGAATCAAAGAGTTATTGCTTATGCATCACGACAACTAAAACCTCACGAAGAGAATTATCCGACACACGACTTGGAAATGGCAGCAGTGGTGTTTGCTTTGAAGATTTGGAGACACTATCTTTATGGAGCCCATTGCAGAATATTTACTGACCATCAAAGTTTGAAATATATCTTCACCCAAAAAGAATTGAATTTAAGACAAAGAAGATGGTTAGAATTGGTGAAGGATTATGATCTTGAAATTGTGTATCATGAAGGCAAAGCAAATGTTGTAGCCGATGCCTTAAGTCGAAAACCAAGGCATAACTTGGGCTTCATGTCGGTTGCTGATGAACTGTGCCAAGATTTAGCGCGGATGGAAATTGAGGTACTTGGACGGGGTATGACTCGGGGATATTTGCAAATGATACAAGTTGAGCCTGAAATTTATGATCGCATTAGAGCGGCTCAAATGGAAGATAATAAAATGGTTGAGCTTGCAGTGAAAGTTCAGTACGGTCAGACTCAAAATTTTAATATTGCTCCAGATGGGAGTCTTCGATTTCACGGGAGGTGGTGTATCCCAAAGGATCGAAATGATTTGAAAGAGCAGATTATGAGTGAGGCTCATAATACACCATACTCAGTGCATCCGGGGGGAAATAAAATGTATCATGACCTACGTCAACATTTTTGGTGGAAGGGCATGAAGAAGGATGTAGCCAAATTTGTTGCACGATGTTTAAATTGTCAAAAGGTAAAAGCAGAACATCATAGACCAATGGGGTTGCTACAACCTTTAGAAGTTCCACTCTGGAAATGGGATTCTATCGCAATGGATTTTGTAACAGGACTTCCAAGGTCAAAGTCGGGAACAGATGCAATTTGGGTAATTATAGACAGATTGACCAAGTCAGCAGTGTTCATTCCAGTACGTATGACTTGGAGTATGCAGAAATTGGCCAAATTATATGTTCATTATGTGGTTAAACGACACGGTATTCCTGAGGTGATCATATCAGATCGTGATCCACGTTTTCAATCTCGATTTTGGCAAAAATTGCAGGAAGCCTTTGGTACTCAGTTGCATATGAGTACTGCATTCCATCCTATGACTGATGGTCAGTCAGAAAGAACTATCCGTATTCTGGAAGATATGCTAAGAGCTTGTGCTATGGAATTTCAAGGGAGTTGGGAAGACCACTTGGATTTAGTGGAATTTTCATATAATAATAGCCATCAAGCAAGTATCGGAATGGCTCCTTTTGAAGCTCTTTATGGTCGAAAATGCAGAACTCCTTTGAGTTGGGACGATATGAGTGATCGACTGATACTGGGTCCGGAAATGATTGAGGAATCGAAAAATAAGATTCGAATTATCAGAGAAAAGATGAAGGCAGCTCAAGATCGTCAAAAGAGTTATGCCGATAGAGCCCGACGTGAGGGTCAATTTCAAAGTGGAGATTTTGTCTTATTGAAAGTATCCCCAATGAAAGGTATTAGAAGGTTTGGGATTAAAGGAAAATTGAGTCCGCGTTATGTTGGACCTTATGAAATTGTCGATCGAGTTGGTGATTGGGCTTATCGGTTGGCACTTCCAAATTCTATGGAGCGTATCCATAATGTGTTTCATATATCTCAGCTTCGTAGGTATGTTGCAGATCCTTCTCATATTTTATCTCCAGATGAGATAGAGCTGAATGAAGATCTTTCGTATGAAGAAAAGCCTCTGTGGATCATGGACACAAAGGTCCGAACCATGAGGAATCGAGATATTCGTATGGTGAAAGTAATGTGGTCCAGACATGGAGTGGAAGAGGCCACGTGGGAAGTAGAACAAGAAATGTTCAAAGCATACCCACAATTGTTTAATTAAGTTGCCTTGTTATGTGTTTGAGTTTAGATTTCGGGGACGAAATCTTTTTAAGGGGGAGTGGATTGTAATGCCCCGATTTCGGAATGTATAAAATAATATTATTATAGCAAATAAATATTTTTATAATATTTTGGGATCAAGAAATTAATATTCTGAAATAAATTTTATTCCTATTTTATATATTGTTTATGATTGAAAAGACCGTTAAACGGATAAATATCGATAAAGATAAATATAAAATATAATATATATATATATAATAATAATAATATAATAATAATAATAATGATAAGGATGGATGATTACGAAGATATAATAATAATAATAATAATAATAACGTTAATAATAATAATATAATATAATATAATATATAATAATAATATAATTATATATATATATATAACAAACTTACCTGCGAAGGAAGACAGAAGACGAAACGCGAAGGAGAAGAAGAAAGGAGAAGAAAAAAAAAAAGGAAGAAAAAGATTTAGCCGTCCGATTCCAATTCCGACTTGGGTATGGTATTCCTTGCTATTCGTAGAGTCCGATTATAAATTTTAATACGAATTTTGATATTGGAGTATTAAATTAGAAATTCTTTAAAAATTCAAAATTGGCTATTTAGCTATTTAATCGATGAATTTCTTTAGCTAATAGCCTATTCGTAGCGCCGACGTTATATTTTGAGAATTTCGTACCAATCCAAGCCGAATAAAAAACGGCAGTATATTGCACCTGCCTGCTTGTTCATACCTTTGCGTATTTTTATTTAATAAT